AAACAAATTAAATTACGAACGCGATTCGAAAAATTAAGAACAAAAATAAATTGGTTACAAATTTCGACAAAATCAAATTATTATATTATTATATTATTATATTATATAATATAATATATTATATATATTCTATATATATTAATATATATATTATTATATATTATATATAATAATTATTATAATTATTAAAATTATTATATTATTATAATAATACAATAATAAAAAATATAATAATAGAAAGAAATATTAGATGGACAGATAGAGAGAGAGAGAGAGAAATATATAGAAAAGTAGATAGAAAAATAAATAAAAAGAGAAAAAGTAATATATGTATATATATATCAATAGGATTATAGTTTCGATTTGTAAAAAAGAAAAAAGGTAAAAGAAATAATAAAAATGGACGACGATTGGAACGATAACGTCGGCTAAGTCGTAACTCAACGTCAGAGAGTGAGCGAGACAGGATACTTAGAGTGAAATATTCATTCTCTGGACTGGTCCCTTGTATATACCTACATATAAATATATACATATATACGCATACACTTATTCTCTGGACCTTTATCAATAATAGCCCGTATATTCTGACATGCCGTCGCGAATACCGTTTCGCAAGGTCGCACTATCGACAAACGTCATTCACCGGTGATACGTTTATCGCAGTACGTTTGGATTACGAGCTTCTCGTTGGTAATTTCTATATATGTCTATCTATCTATATATATATCTATGTAATATATAGGATATAATATGTACGTATATGTTAAGAAGTTAAGTCGTCGTCTACGAAGAAGTACGAAGGGCTGACATTATCCTGTACACTATTAAAGTACCTACATTTACATTTATCGTCATCGATCTTTCTACAAACTAAAAGATCAAACTATGCAAAACATCATATTTCTATTGTATAATATTTTTTTATATACTCCATTTTGTCTTAATTTCATTCAATGTTAATAAAAAGTATAATGATTCTTGTAAATGTAAAAAAGAAAAGAGATAAGAAAATATTTTGTAAAAAGGTTATCTAGTAATTGTATTAAAAAAAAAAAAAGAAAAAAAATAGAACTTCAATATAAATAATCTCTAGAAATATGGTTCTAGCTAGTTTTGTTGATCTGGATAAAAATGGAGAATCGATAAATACGTTAAAGGTAAAACCTCTTGGTCGTATTTATTCCTAAAATACAAATAGAAGCTAATTCGATATAATCATTAAAGAGAGAAAAAAACGAATTAGCTGAATAATTTTATTAAAAAAAAAATAAAATAAAAAAAGAAAGCAAAGAGTAAGGTCTCCAGGGTAAATAATCTTACGGAATATTCCAGTTCGTTCTCTCGATCAACAAGATTCGCTGTTACCTTCCTCTCTACTCCTTTATTCCGCTCTCGTAAAAAAGTACGTCAATGAGAAAAAAGAAAGAGAGAGAGAGAAAGAGAAAGAGAAAGAAAGAGAAGGAAAAAACAGATGGGGTGTGGAATAGAGTTGAGGTGTTTGTAGTAGTGGTGGTGAGGTAAAAGTCACACAGAAGCGATAGTAAAGTTGCGCTAGCTAGAGTGGGCGAGGTACGGGGTGAGCGAGAGATCGTCGAGCCAGGCAACAGCAGCATCCTCCAAAGTCCCCGCAGGGGTTAGGGTTAGGGTCACGTCACCGACGCCAAGGCGCCGCGTTACCACCACCACTATCACCATCGAGAGTATCATTTCTAGAATCACGAGCCCCACAACAACCTCTACCACCACCACTACCACCACCGATACACCATCACCAACGTCAGGCCAGCTACGAGCATCGACGTCGAGAAGACGAGAAGGTGGATAAAAGGGGTGAGGGAGGAAGAACAACCGAGAGGGGTTCATTGAGGAACGGCACGTGTACGTTCGCGGTCGAGGTGGGAGTCACGGTCGGTCAGGGGTAGGGACGTAGAAAAAGACGGAGAGAGAAAGAGAGAGAGAGAGAGACACGTACAACAAGGGTTGCCAGGCAGCACGCTCGAACGGGTTGCCCCTGACGACTGGTTGCGTCACTGCGGCGCTGGTGACGTCACACGACGCCACTGCCCTTGACCGGCCGGATGACACTTACACACATACTCTTTCAAACAAACACATGCGCACACCTACGTGTAAACGTAGTGGAAGAGAAAAACCGGGGAGAGCGTCCTCTCGACCCCTACAGAATCCCACGCCACCCCACTTCACCGCAAACGACGCGTTCACCTGCGACTTTAAATCGACTTAACTGACCCTCCTCCCCCTTTACCATTGTACCCCCTTAACTCTTATTAGCCCATTTCGGCCCAACTCGATCAGTTTGAACAACGATGATGCGTCGATTACTCTTGAAAGGGAAAAAGACAGAGATAGGAATAGAGAATGTTAAAACGGGAAGCGTACGTTGGTGTTACTATTTCGAGAACTCGAGAGCCATTTACCGCTTGATATAACATTCCGCTCATTGTCTTCGTTCCGTATCGATTGTTACGCTCTACCCTTCTCTCTATCTCTCTCTCTCTCTCTCTCTCGTGTACATTGGCACACCCCACCAATGGGAATCCATTCTTGGTATATATACACACAGACACATATCATACATACATTCATACTTTCCAGTTAAAAAGAAATTCATTTATATTAAAAACATATTTGAACGATCAACTATTTTCCTTTTTCGATATTTTCTGTCAATATTTTCGATCTATCAAAATATATTTCTTTTTGATTAGACATTTTATTCATAGCACATTTACGTAACCATTGAGAATCGACCGATCGATGTCAAGCTAAACTTGGTGTTACATATATATGTATATGTGAATACATGCATGTAAGTATTACATATACATGAATACGTCATTTCTGACTTGTCGACGGGTGGATTTTTTTTTTATACAAGAGACTTATTATTAGAGATTTTTGTTAACTTTAATAATGCTGGATTTTTATAAAGCTGTTTGTGATGTGGATTATTTGTGATACGGATATTTTATAACGTTAATATTTTTACTGATATAAAAAATTATTTTTAATAATAATTAATAATATATTTTTTTTTGTGGTGCGTGTATATTTTAAGTGATAATAATACTTCTATGGTGTGAACTTGGTCATTGTGATTATTTTTATTAATAATTGTACTGCATACTTTTTATGATGTTTACTATTTGTGGTTTAGAATTTCCTTAGTGCAAATTTTATCACTGATATGATATTACTTTTAATAATTAATATAAAAGTGTATTACTATATATTTATTCATTGAAATAACTTGACATTATCTAGCACTCTTTCAACGTCATTCATTCTTTCTATCTCATGGTTTATCCTCAAGTCACGTCGTCTAAACCAAAGGGATTCCCTTGCGTGTTTTATGTACGTACTCGCTTTTAATGCGTCAAATGGTCTCTTATATCTTCTACCCTGTATTTATTACACATACATACATGTGTGCATTTGTGTTCGTGTATACTAGTAGATGTATATATATATATATATACAAAGCACGTGCTACGTATATGTACATATAAATACATCTAACTTACCAGCTGACATTCGTTCGTTCATTCACTTCGTTCATCCATTCATAAAAGCTACGTAACGTAACGCGCATGCGCTTGCCTATTCGTTATCAGAATTCAATGATACGTTTGTCGATAATTTCGCGGAAATTATCTGGGGGTGTTATTCATTGAATTTTACGATCATTTACCAAGAAAAATTAAAATATTTGTGACATTGTAATATCGAAATGTTACACGTTAATAATAATACAGAAATATTATATGTAATGATTATTTATTTTATATAAATATGTTATATTTAATTAATCAGCAATTACTAGAGAGATGGAAATATTATATTAATCTTTTATTATGAAAATGGTGTAAAGTCTATTAATAATTGGAAAATAAATAATTGTAATATAAAGAATTAGTTATAAATAATAATTAATATTTAAATAATAATATGTATATAATATATATATATATATATAATATTATTATATATTTACTCAAATTGAGTAAATTTGAAAAAGCACGTAATTTTAATGCTTTATTTAAAATTAATCAAAAATTGTGTATTTTCTCAATTTTTATGTTTTATTTTTAATTAATGAAAATTATGAAATCATTCAAATTTACTCAATTGTTTTTTTTTAAATGAACTTTACGCCATTTTCATAATAAATGATCTAATCAATTAATATTATATTTTCATAATAGTTCTACTGCAAAAATACTATTTTCCTTCTTCGTTTTATATTGAAATAAATATTTCATAGAAACATCATAATATATTAAATTCGTAAAGATAGATCGTTAAAATGAAGTCATAGTTTCTACGTAAACGTATATAAACATGATATCATGTAATCCATAAAATGATTATTCCAGTTACCTCTCTTCGTGTTAAAATATCATCTACATAATACATACATACATATATGTATATATGTATATGTGAAGTGTACAATAAATTTTGCCCTCACGTGCTACTAATATCATAATCGATCCACGTGAATTATATCAAAAAAGTCTACGATGTGCGCGATCATTCTAGCGTCAAACTCTAACTACTGTACTGTATTAAAGACTTTAATTAAACTTAGTCGTTCTTAATTTAGTTTTTGAAAGTAAACAATCGACTATATACAATCTGAGTAACATGTTTTATCAAATTTTTATTAAAATAGAATATATAATATCAGTTCTTTTTCATTTATATTTTTTTTTTTTTAAATAAAACTATCATTTTTGCATATAATTCTTTTTCCTCGAAAATAACAGAAACATTTGTTTCTTTCTAAATATATAATAATTTAATAACAAACAAAAATGATTTACACATAAGATAGGATGTGTAAGACTTATATATGTAAAATTTTAAATTACTAAAAGTAAAAGAATATATTATATGTATATTTAAAAATAAAACAAAAAGTAGGAAATTAATTTTTAAGCTGAATAAAAAATATTCTCTCTCGTTCTTATTTCAAAACATTTTTATAACATGACATTACAAACGTATACAAAATATCCCTGTTAGAATTAATGTATACATTGTTTGTAAAAATATTATCCATATCAAGATTATAAAATTTTAGCGTAAGTAATTAATTTTTTTTATTATTTTCAATCGTCACAGACCAATGAAAAATTATTATTTGTTTATCGGTTGTGTTTCTCTTTCAAGCCATTGACGAGCTTGAGCATTTTCCGGACCGTCGAGGTAAGGGCGTAATGTTTTTAAACATTTAGCGTGATAATCGTTTAAATACTTGATCTGTAATCAAAGTCATTCGTTTTAATAATTTAATATACTTAAAATCGTTTTTAATTAATAAAAAGAAGAGTAAACGTACTTCTTCATCCGTTAATAAAGAAACATCGAGTAAACTGGTTTGAATTGGAACAAGTGTTACAGTTTCAAAAGTAAGAAATCCATTATCGTCAAATTTATATTTAGTTTCTGCTTTAACGATTAGTTCTATGTTCTCTAATCTAATACCAAATTCATCATTTTTGTAATATCCAGGTTCTAAAGAGAAATAGTCAGATATTAATTAATATCTACATACAAATGTCATTGTAATAAACGATACAATCATTTTACCATTGGATAAAAACATTCCTGGATGTAAGCCAGGATCATCAGGATATGGTTTCCAAGATATACCAATTGGTTGTTCGTGAACATTTAAATAGGATCCTATTCCATGTCCTGTACCGTGTAAATAATTAAGTCTGCAATTTGTTTATTTAATAAAAATTTACTTTGAACATATTCCAAAATAAAAAGATACTCGAATAAATTTATATACCCAACACTCCATAAACTTTCGCGTGCTAATGTATCTAAATAATTTCCTTTTGTTTTAAAAGGAAATATCGTAGATGACAAACGACATTGTCCTTTAAATACTCTGGTGAAGCATTCCCGTTGATAATTGGTAGGTTCACCGAAATGCAAAGTTCTTGTGACATCTGTGGTTCCATCTTTGTATTGGGCTCCTGAATCACATAGATACAATTCTTTGTCTGTAATTGGAACGTCTGTTTCTGGAGATGGAGTGTAATGAATTATGGCACCGTGTGGACCCACAGATGAAATCGTAGAAAAACTTAAACCAACGTAGTGTTCCTGTTCCCTTGAAAAAGTAACATGAGATCATAGTATAAGTATATAGCAAGATATGCAATAAACAAAAATAAATATATGATACTAATAATACTCACGATCTAAATTTTTCAAGTTGTTCCGCACCAGAAATTTCTGTAACAAGTTCTTTTTTATTTTTTATTTTATCCTCCAACCATGCAAAATATTTGACAAGTGCAACCGCGTCGCGTCTATGGGCAGCTTTCATTCCTTCTATTTCTATAGAATTTTTAATTGCCTTAGCTACACAAACGGGAGAAATAGCAATATGCTTTTTTAATTCTCCACAATCGGAATGAATGGCAAAGCTTGAGCCATTGCTTATCCATACTAATTTATTCTTATTAAAAGAAGCTTCGCATTTAATAAAGTCATGTATATCACTGTATGGGTGGTAATTGGGTTTAATTCCTTCAATAGTCATTTGTTGTATTGCTTCCTCTGTAAGATTACGGACATCCACAAAGAAATGTAATTCGTCCTTAGTAAGAATGACAAATGCAAAGAATACAGGATTATAAGGAATATCAGAACCTCTTAAATTTAAAAGGTACGCAACCTCATCTAGAGCGGTAATTATAAGCATTTTCACACCGATAGATTCCATTATTTTACGACACAGTTTTACTTTTTCACCTGCGCTCTCACCAGAAAATTCCAATGTTTGTGGAATGATTTTGTTTGCTACAGGTAATGGTTTCTCTTTACCCCATACCTTATCTATCAAATTTTCTTCTATTGGAAATAAGGTATGTCCTCCGGCAACAAGAGTAGTTTGCAATGTAATCCACTTATTATAACTTAATAAATTAGGATCAGCTCCAATGACAGATTTAGGTGGTAAATTAGAAACCAACCAGGATTGTATCGAAGGTGTTTCTAATAAACCATCTTTCATAAGGGTCCATTCTTCCGGTGGATCAAATTGCGACAAAGCTTGGGTAAAATATCTTCCATCTGTCCAAAGTAATGCTTTGTTTTGAGTAATCACTGCTGTACCAAGAGAACCAGTAAACCCACTTATAAATGTAAGCCTTTGGTCATACTTTCTTAAATATTCAGATTGATGTGCATCTTCCGAGGTTACAACGTAAGCTTGAATTTCCACTGTTTTGTTAGCATTTATTTGAACAGTTTTCATCAATTCTCGAAGCTTTGTTAATTTTGCGTGACCACTTTGTGCCATATTGTAGTATCTATAGTGAACAAGAAAAAAGAACAATTAAAATTGATAATTAAATATGCTAAATAAATAGAAACTATTAAAAAAATAATCTTTTATTTTATATAACTAATAAATCTTCCATATACTACTTTACCTATGTTTTAATATTCTTCTATATTATATTATTGCTTTAAAAAAAAAAAAACTTTTTCAACAATATCACATATGATCAAATTAACTTGTACCGTAATCACAATCTCTTAGATTGTCAAAAGATATTCAAGACAAGAAACAATTTTTATCAGATAATGTATTTATCAACATTTAACTGATAACTCTAAATATAACTTCGAATATTAAAGTAATATATTGATTTGTACTCATTATTATATTGAACACTATAAAATGTGAAACATATTTGTATAAAAAAAAATTTACATCTGAGATTATTTACTCTAAATATCGTATCACGCGTATTTACACTTCACTTTACACATTTGAAGAAATTAAAAATATTACTATACTACATATTAAAAGAAAACACCTCTTTGAAACTAATTTTACGTGACAAACAAGAGATGTGAGTATGCTCTTTTATTTTATGCTATTGGTACACTTGTACTCAATTTTTAAGGTTAGAAAATTAACCTAAAACTAATCATAGGTAAATTCCTAACTCTGAAGTTGGCAATGTTTGTAATGCGTGGGTGGATTGAAAAGTTTTGAGCCTTGTTAAGAAATCACTTTTATTATTTTTCTTTTTTTTTTTTTAATAAATGTTAGTTTGACAGAAACAAAAATTATGTTTAAAATTATATGTTCAAAACTTTTCAACTCACCCACGTATAGCACACAAATTTTTTGATAACATTGGTGAAGCTAGAAAATATTTTTAACTACTAACTCCAAAGTTGGTAACGTTTATAATGTATCAGATACAACATTGCTATCAGGCAACACTGTCTAGGTTAGAAATTATACGTGACTATTAACTTCAAAGTTGGTAACGTTTATATCATAGCAGACAACTTAATTTTTATCATCAACTCGTCATAAATGTTAAATATATTTGACGTTTAAAACCGGTTTGATTTTGATCAAATTTTGTGAAGTATTATGTAGTTGTTATATAGACAATAATTAAATGTAAACAAACAACAGCAGTCATATTAAAATAATATCAAATATCAAATTGTATTGTTGCATCATTTTGCATCGCTACAATTTTGTTTATTATTAATTTGTATATATTTATTTAAAAAAAAATAAATATAATATAAATATTGTAATTATAAATTATATAACTTTTAAGTTTTCTTTTAAAGAAATAACAATAGTGTATGAAATAAAAAACAATTTAAGTCATAATTATATTTAAATACATTTCAGATATAACACATTGGGAATCAATATAAGATTATAATAATATTAAATCAAATAACATGTTAAACGTAACAAGATATTGCTCCAAGTCTTTAACAAACAACGGTTTAACAAAATGTTTACCATCTTGGAGAAATTTGTTAACGAACAACAATTCAAGAATAAACGTATTCCAAAATGTTCTTGCACCAATGAAAAGGAATACATTTTTATTGCAAAAGGTATTTCATTTGTATTAATTAATAATATTGTACAAATATAAAATTCATATTATACAAATTAAACATTTTTAATTATTTGTAGGAATCACTTAGACGGTCTGGTACAATAGCAATAAACTATTCATCGAAAGCAAATAAAAATGCAGATAAAATAGTTGGTTCTTGGTTACTCGTTTGTGGTGGAATGGTTTTTGTAGCTGTAGCCTTAGGTACATTAATTTATTTTGTATTCTACAATCAAATCCATCGAATTATTCAAATCATTGTCGATTTAACATATGGAAAGTAAAATATCGACACAATAACAAACAATAGTGTTTAATTGTAAATCAATATTATTTGTAATTCTAATATAATTTTTTTTTATTATATATAAGATGTATTTATATATATACATATAAATATACAAGTATAAAATAAAAATATCTACTAAATAAATATTTTTTATGATCAATTTACTTTTTTATTCTTTCTTATATTTATAGGTGGTATCACCAGGCTTACTGAATCAGGTTTATCAATGGTTACTTGGAAATTACTTGGAGAAAAAATGCCAATTAATGAAGAACAATGGCGTATTGAATTTGAACGTTATAAACAATTTCCTGAATATAAAATGTAAGATGACAAAAAACCATTTTTTATTACATGTTTGGATATTATATATATATATATATATATCTAAGTATTTCTCTAAGTATAATTATTTTATATAGAACTAATAAGAATATGACGTTGGACGAATTTAAGAGAATTTGGTGGATGGAATATTTTCATAGAATGTGGGGTCGATTAATAGGTGGTGTATTTTTAATACCAGCAACTTACTTTTGGTTTTCTGGTATGCTTAAATCAGATATGAAAATACGTGTTGCGGCATTAGGATCATTGATTGGTTTACAAGGATTAATGGGATGGTATATGGTAAAATCTGGTTTGGAAGATCGTTTTAATGATCCTTCAGATGTACCGAGAGTGTCGCAGTATCGTCTTGCTGCTCATTTAGGATTAGCATTTGTAATATATTCAGGATTTTTATACAACGCTCTGAGCTATTTAATACCAGCACAAAAAATAGGAAACGGCAGCCTTAGTATTGAAAATGTTAACGCTGCTGTGAAAAAATTAACACCGTTCAGATATTTGGTTCATTCGACGAAAGGAATGATATTTTTAACTGCTATTTCTGGAGCGTTCGTAGCAGGTATGGACGCTGGACTTATTTACAATACTTTTCCCAAAATGGGTGGCAAATGGATACCTGATGATTTGTTTGCTATACCTGAGACATTAAAAAATTTTACTGAAAATCCAACCACCGCGCAATTTCAACATCGATATCTGGTAAGTTTGTAAGATAAAGTATAACGTGTACGCGATATATATATATATATATTAAATGTTTTATTGTTTACAGGGTATATTATCTTTTGCATTAGTAAATATTATAGCTATATTATCTCGAAAACATAAACTTCCTGGCAATGGGAAAACAGCTGTAAATACTGTATTGGGTGCGGGCTATCTGCAAGTATCTTTAGGCCTTTTAACTTTATTGTATTATGTACCAGTGCCGCTTGCTGCGGCTCATCAGTGCGGTAGTCTTATTCTCTTAAGTAGTATACTCTGGCTCTGCCATGAGATAAAATATGTCAAATATGTAAAAAAGTTAGTCAAGTAAAATTGTTCAAAATATTTTTATGTCTATACTACGATATTTTATATAAAATAAAAAAGTATATATTGTTATATATCTCGTACAGTTTATAATACTCTTCTTTGAAGATTTAAAAAAAACAAGTTAATTTCGTCAATTGTAATAATATTTTATTTTTACCAAATTTATTTTTCAAATGAAAAAAAATCATCACACTATAGAATCTTTAATCACAACAAAAATAATAGAAATAATAATACTAAATGTCTATTCTTAAATAAGTGTATTAGTGAGTCAATTTGAAAGAATTTTAAAATCAAAACATGGTGATGTCTGTTATTTTCGCAATTCACTTGCAAAATATCATGTTATTATTATCATTATAATTAATTGGCAGTAGGAACTCGAAAGTTCATTGCCGCAAATACTAATTGTAAATCCCGCCAGTTTATCCGTTCCTGAGAGCGACCTCTCCATTCGCGATCTTCGTAATCTATTTCCTTAAGATCTCTCCTAATATTGTCGTCTTCCCATAGATGTCTCTATCTCCGTCCTTTGGGAAGAAGTTTGCCGCTCACTTTCGATAGGGCTGTCAGAAAAGATTTTTCTTCGTAATAGTTTCATATCGAAATTTATCGAATGAGAAAAATGTACGAATATAAAATGTTAAATTAATGAAACATTTGTTATTATAATTTTTACATCGATCATTATAAATTCTATATATTGAATTTTTTCTATTATTAAATCTTAAGATGTAAACATAATAATAACAATAACGATTTATTTTATACAAAGTCAGGAGGGTGCGATAGGAATATTTATGAAACAGACGACGATATATATACGTCCCTGTAAGTTTCGATGCGTGCGCATCCAACGAATGCGCGCGCATCTACAGAATGCATCCACAGTATGCGCGCGCATCCATAGAATGCGTGCGTATCCGATGAATGTGCATGGCATGCGTTTGCACCTTGAACATTTCTGTTCTCCCGATAACGGGAGTCTCCGAGAGAGCCTACCCCAACGTCGTTGGTGATTCGACGGAGCATCATCGTCTTACGTTCGTCTCTCCCTTCTCTCTCCCACTCTCCCTTCCCCTCTACCACGATCACGTTCCACGTTGCTCTTTACGTCACATCGAAACGTGCCACGCGCATCGAAGGTCGTACTTCTTCTTCTTCTTCCTATACCTCCTCGACGTCGTTGTAGTTATCGTCGTTGTCACATTAGCCAACTGATATATTACATATGTTTTATACTCACGTCTTTTTACGTACATCATTAAAGAACTAATACTCCATTAGGAGATTTTATTCCTCTAGGAGAAGAAAGTTTTTATCGAAGCATTAACTTTTCCTTCCGAAGAAATGATCTCCTTTTTCATTTTTTTTTTTAAATAAACGTATTCCCGCTCTTTTTATTTTCAACTTACCTTACTGTTATCCTTCTCTTTCTTCTACCATTATATATTTTTAATTCTTTTTTTCTTTCTTTCTCACTGTCGTACCACGTTCATCGTTATTTCCCAAAGTTTTTATTTAATTTTTTTGATATCTCTTTAAAAGTTTAAATTTTGTTTATTGCACACTTTTGTATTTACGTTTATACGTTTATTATTTTTTTTTATATATAGTTTTTATTTATTTTAATTTATTTCTTTTCTTTTCTTTTTTAACGAATGTATTGTTTAATTGTTATCATTAAAAATTATTATTAAACAATTTCCTTATTATCTACTCTTCTCCCTCCTCTCCCTTTTCCCTAAGTTCGTTCGATCGATCGATGTATTTAAGTTTTTATCGACGACGGGTTAACTTGCCGACAGAGTCAACATCTTATTCTACAAATAAATTATCCTACACCTGTATTACCATTTTACGATAGCGTTCAATTGATTTATAGAAACCTTTTTTTTACGTAGATTTTTAATAAATTTTCTTTATTTTTTCGTTATAAAAGTTTTGCCATGTGTGTTTTTATTGTAATTGTATTTTATTTGGCACCACATTTTTCAGCTTCCTTGACAAATTTGTCAAATTTCTTTGCACATTCTGCCTTTAATTTTTGATCTACGTCAAAAACCTAATATAATTCGTTAAGATATTAGTAAAAATTTTCGAAAAAACAAAAAAATGAATAATACAATAGGGAATATTTTTAAAAAATTTGTCGTTACCCTTTTCGTAAAACTATCTTTCAAACGTTTATCCTCGAACATAAATTTTTCTCCAATTTCCAAATTTTTAAATACTTTCACTCTCAATGGGCCAAATTTTTTTTGAAATTTACCAACATCACCCCCACTCTCGTTTTCTACGTTCTGTATGGATTCATGAATTTTTCTTTCCTCGCTGCCAAATTTGTCAACTTTTTTCGTAAATTTTTTAATATCGGAATAAGCCGATTCGTATTCTTTTCTTACTTTAGATGAAAATTCTTGTTTTAGCTAAATTAATAATCGAATTTTTAATTTTTTAAAAAAGCGATCAAGAATAAATTGTTAGTTTTTTTATTTTTTTTTTTTTTATATATATTAACAGTTAAAGAGAGGATTACCTTTTCAATTTTATCTAAGATACTATTTTTGCAATCTTCATTAATGTTTGGTATTTTTGACCAAGTTTCGTTAATTTTTCCCATGTTAGCATCGAACCATCCTTTTACTTTCTCATCAACTTTTTCATCGGTGTAATCCATTAAAAACGTATCTTCGTTTTGGATGTTATCACTTACTTTAGCAAGGATTTCTCCGCTCCAATGAAGTACGCGATCGCGTTCTTCCTTTAATCCATCCAACGTGGACGGCATTTCACCCATTACTTGACCCATTTCTCTTTTAAATTTTTTATGTAAATATATATCTTTTTATGTTGCTTTTAATTCAAGAAATTTTGTTGCTTCAAATTTATTTATTTTCTTTTTCTTTTTTGGTGAATGCCAAACTAACGACAAATTTTGACGAACCGAAAAGTTATGGGCCTGTGCTACGCGTGTCAGAGATTTGTTTTATGGTTGTCATGTAATCAGTATCGTTTCTTTTTTTTTTTTTAATTTTATTTCTTGTTTCTTTCTTCATTTTTTTTTTGTTAATACAGAGATTATTCATTTATAATTTTGTTATATTAGCCACGCTTATATGTATCCTGTGTCTCAAATTTTTCACAATTTATTTCATTTTGTATAATATTTTTTACAGAATAAAATGTATATATTTGTATACGATTGATTTATGAAACATAAACACCCTTCAACACGAAAATAATTCATTTCATCAAAATTATTGTAAGTATCGATAAAACGATGAAATCAATATTATAATTGAAACTTTTATCAAGTAAAGTAACAATTTTTCTTTAGCAATATGATAAATTAAAAAAAAAAAAAAATAATGATATAAAAACAATTGTCTGTATAACCGAGACGTACGATACAATAAACAATATAGTCTGCTTTCAGGTAGCTTTTACTTTGTTTTCTTTGGGGATGGGGTGGGATGAGGTGAGGGTTATTTTTTTTTTCACGCCCATTCAAGCAGAACGCATAAATACGTTGTGTGGACAATGGCAATGGGACAAGGGTATACGCGTAGCTTCCCTACAAAAGGAACGTACTTTACGTAGTGTCCGCGAAGATTACATTGAACGTTGGATCCTCCCTTGTCAAACGCCGTTGGAAAAGGAACTGGGACGGATGTCCGGCTGTCTGGAAAGTCCCATGGTATTCAAACGAACCCACGAACCATGTACCATCATAGAGGTGTCGATTCGTAGTAACATAATCTCCGCTTGTGCTAACCAATAATCGGCTTATTGATTTTGGTTCATCCTGTTAAAGTTCTCTTTAGATATATATATTGTAAAATATAAAATATACAGAATGGTATTCTGCTAATAACTTGGTAAAACCGAGCAGAGAATGATTGTTTTTTTTTTTTTTTAAGTAATAATAATAATAATAATAATAATAAGTCAAAAATATAAAGTTAAATTTTTAAATATGGAGTTCTGTTTGTTATTGAGAACAAATAATTTTATTTTAGTGGTAGGATAATATCATTTTGTTGATATTTAATCTTTCGTATTAAATACTTGTTTTATATTTAATATAATAATATAATTAAGTATCGATAAATGTGATAATAATTTGATATTAAGATCGTTTGATAATAATAACAGAATTGTCATATTTTCTAAATTGTTCAATTTCTGTTCGTTATATGCAATTGGAAGCTCTCGTGCATCTCACTTGTGTATAGCATGAAATCAAATCTGACTTTCAGTTCGACAAATGAAAGCACCGTTGCGTATATTTTTTTTTTTTTTTTTTTATCGTAAAGTCAAACAACATTTCATGGTACAGAAGATATCCGATTATACATGTGTATGCGTACACACGAAGGGCTCGTATCTCCCGTTGTTCGTTTTAAAATTCCAAATCTCACCTTATCGTCGCGAACTAACCATTTTGTCTTTCTATAGAAACAACAAAAATCACATTCACAATCGGAGATCAACAATTTGTCATTCGTTCGTGTCAATTCAGATTAAAAAAATGTTTCTGATTGAAGGAAGGAAGGAAGGAAGGAAGGAAGGGTCGAACGATTATTTCAAAATGACGTTGAAAACACAAAGAGATTTATTTTTTAATTGTTATTTTCAATCGGATCAATTCGAATTGCTTGGTTATTTATTTATTTATTTTAATATTACATCCATTTATATAACTCTTAGATATTATTTAGAATATACATGTATATATATATATATATATATTTCTATACGTCAAATGGAATTGAAATCCAAAGAATAATTGGAAGTGGATAATTGACATGGAATTCGTGACCATTTATCCGTTATCCTATTCGATGCTTTATTGACTTTCATCCTAACTTGCATGATGCGTGTTTTGCACACGTGATATACAGTGCGTATGGATACGTGACATACGAGGTGTACGTAAACGAAGCTGCTGCTGTTACTGCTGCTGTTGCTGTTGCTGTTGCGTTGTATTCGGTCTGTTATACAGAACGTGTTACTTCATGGTGACACGTAACACGGTTAGATTGCCGCTATATTTCATTTTTTTCCATAAATGTCCAATGAACGATCTGGAACGCCACGTACGTACGTATGCGTATATAAGTTTCACGAACAGAATTTTTAAATCTTATAACATTTTCTTTTCTCGTAACTTATGTACATATTCGTATTGTAATATTTAAATTTATTTATTTATTAAAAATAACAATAATTAAGTAAAGATATACAAATTTTTGTTGTAACACAAAATCCTTATACATTTATCTAGAATTAAAATGGCAGAATAATAAAGTTATAACGAAATATCTTTTTATTACATTATACATGATATTGCATATAGTGACATCACATAAATACATTAACGTAGTATATACACATAGGAAAAATATATATATTGGTAGTTGTAGACGGAAAGAGAGACGAGCTGGTAAGGTACTGTTAGCTTTATGGTATCGTTCGAGCGACAAATTGAACTAAAAATAACCCTTTTACTTAGTGGTGGTACTTGACTATTCGTGCGTACGGAGGTAGCCTAGCCAAGTACGGAATATACACCTCGCTTGGGTGCCCCTTTGAAGCTGACGGTAGTTGCGGTAGTCGCCTTCCCGGTTACGTGTAAACGTCTGCACTACATCGTGACCTATCTTTCATACGCCTATACTATTTTGCGTGAGAAAGAAAGAGAGAGAGAGAGAGAGAGAGAGAGAGAGAGAGAGAAATAGAGATCACTTGGTGTGCTATTCATGCTTCTATACATATTGTCTTCTTTATTAACGACGACAACCACACTGCTATTCTCGATCAATTTATTTTTAGCATCATACTTAAGCTTAGATATTACCTTTTCTCTTCTATTTATCAAAGTAATTACTATGAGTTGGTTAAGAATTAGAACAAAACGTTTTTCTATCTTTAACATCGCCTAGTTTAATTATTTGAAAATAATTGTTCGTAGTAAGAAATATATATTATATATACAGCAATGATTTTCTTTTTAAGGATAATTGTTTAAATAATTTTTTATTATATCAGTGACAATGTAAAATTTTAATTAATCGTTCGAATGAATTTAATTAGAATATGGAGGTTGCGTTTTTTCTTATTAATTGACGATCATTTTTGACAATAGAAAATAAAAGAGAATTCGACGATTTCCTGTTTTAGGTATTACAGATTTGATTATGGGTGATGACGTTCGTTAAATATATGTATATATATATATACACATACGGTATCTTCCAGTTGATAGATCAAAACCTAAAAAGGGATGAGGGGAAGAGCAGGGGTAGGAAAGAGAAGTGAAACGACGACGATGTATTTAACGAACACGGGCCAACTAACACGAAAAGAGAAACGTCACTTCCGGTCCTGTTTGTCGAACCAACCAGAAAGAATTAACTGGATAGCGCATGTATTCGGGCGTGCATCAAAGGCATCGGATCACTTGTGCCTATCTATCGGTTTCAATTCGGCATAGGATCTATTCATCCGTTTATATTTATTGATCGTTTCTTATTTTTTTTTTCTATTTTCTACTTTTTATCGTTTGCGAATAACGCGGATAGCTTTTCTTTTTACTTTTTGAAGTGAAAACTTCGTTAAAATGAGAGTGATTAGAAAAAATGAAACACGAAACGCGGCAGCGTAACGATGTGGCGAGCAGTGGCATAACGCGGCAATGAAACGGAATTAAGAAGAGAAAAAGAAACAAACATATAGGATTAAGCCTGCGAAAGAAGGAGACAAACAAAATGTAGCGCGACGATGAAGGGAACAAAATAAAATCGCATCCTTTTAAGATGCCTGTCACATAAATATTATAAAAATAAACAGAGATTCAGATTATAACTTTCAAATTTTTACACTTTTTTCACTTTTATATAATTACTATTTTTATTAAATGCATATATAACTTGTAATCATGATCAAAATAATGAATAGAATAAAAAGAATGCAGAATAAAAACATTATTTTACGGTATACGAGAAAACAGTCATTTGTATACTTGTTGTATTGTTGTTGTTGCAGCGGATTTTGTTATCCCGTTAATTTCAGGTAATTGTTTTAATTAATTATCTAACGTAGGTACACTTTCCTGTTATATATCATGTTATATAGAACGAATGTTATATACCAAATGATAGTTACATGCAAGATTTTTATACGTGAGTGTTTTCATATTTTGCTTTTTTTTTAGCTTTCTGAGCATGGGAAGATTCTTTTTTTTAAGTATAAGCATATAAGCATATAGAAATACTACAGAAAGAGTGAGAGAGAAGGAGTAAGAGAGAGACAGAGAGAGAGAGAGAGAGAGAGAGAGAGAGAGAGAGAGAGAGAG